TATTTGCTTACTTAATAAGTCATAATGATGATAATAATAGTAATAATAATAATGATAACAATTATGATATTAATAATAATAATAATTATGATGATGATAATAATAATAATCCTCATCATTATTGTAATTGTGTTTATTGTTATTAGCCGCATTCACACGGTGAAAGCCAATTCAGACGGTAAAAAAAAGAAAATCTTACAAGTATTTTGTGGTTAACCAATAATCCAATGGCTTCTATTGGTAAATCAATAATGTAGAAATCCGTACTCTTGTGAACAAACAAAAAAGGATTTCCTATAATGATTATATCTCAAGTATCTCCCTCAATTCTAACCCCAAATGATTTTGGTCGTTTGTAAAAGCTACGAAGGCAACTTTAATGCTTTCAACGTTTAAACTTGATAACAATCATTATGATGATCCTGGAAATATTGCTAATGTGTTCAATCAATATTTTTGCTCGAACTTTTCAGAATCTACAATTGATACAATGTCTAGCAATATATTGGATGCCTGTAATAGACACAGTGCTGGCATGTTACCCCTGAACCAAATAAGCGTACAAAGAAAGGAAGTCTCAATCGCTATCAACAACCTAAAAGCGTCAAAGCCCCCTGGACCCGATGGCATCTTGCCGGGTTTCTTAAAGTTAGCAGGTAATTCTTTGGCCCCTATTCTCACACGCATGTTTAATCTAAGTTTAAGCAGGGACTAGTCCCTGGTTTAAGTTTAGGTACGGTACCCCGTGAATGGAAATTGGCGAATGGTGTGCCTTTACTGATCGTGAGTCTATATCCAACTACAGACCGATTTCTTTATGTTCAGTGCCTTGCAAAATGTTGGAAAGAATTGTTGCTTCCCATCTACTTAAACATTCTAATATGTATGGTATTATACCGTTATCTCAACATGGTTTTATGGAAAAACGCTCTTGTTCTACTCAGACCTTAACTTTGTACAATGACCTTGCCCAATGTTTAGAAAGCGCGAAAGTGTCCAGAGTCGATACTGTTTTCTTGGATTGGGCTAAGGCCTTTGATAAGGTAAACCATGCACTACTTGTAAAAAACTACATGATTTTGGTATTTGTAAAAAAGCTCTTGGGTGGATTCAATCATTCTTGTCAGATCGCAACCAACGGGTCTTGTTTCAGGGTACATTTTCTGAATGGTCCAGTGTGACGTCTGGAGTTAAAGATTTTTACCAAATTTTATCTAAAAACCATGAACACTATTTTTGGTTTCTTAAATTGTCCCTACATTCATCAATGTTTCACATTTGATTTCACTATAATTTTAAGACGACATTAATATCCTCATTCATCACCATCACTATGCTATTTGCATTAACCTACATATTTTCCATCCTTCCTATTGACATATGCATTTGTTCATTGTCCACAGGCCGTGAAGAAATCTCAAAAGCCATTGGATCCAAGACAGACCTAGTGGACTTGTGTCATCGCCTGAACGTTAAACCTTCAGGCGTTTTGCAGATCATGAGCAAATTTGTGACCTTCCCGCCTCACATGATTGGCCGTTGTACTCTGAAGATGCTTAAAAAATGGGTACACCAAGGTGGGACTAGAGAGAGGCTTCTGGAAATTGCTCAGGCTTTCCGTTTTAACGATGCAGCAGTCAAGATAGCAGAAGGTAGTGCCACTGCACAACTACACTGTATTGCACATTACATTAGATTGTGTAGGCCTATTTGATCAGTGGAGGAAAACACAGGCAGGAACATGTGCACTTTTAACTTATATTACGAAGGAGTAATCATGAGCCATGTTATACAGTAGGCTTGCGGATGCACCATGTGAGAGAGAGGGAGGATTGAGGAGTCCTGAAAAGGACTCTCGGTAATCTTTCTTGAGGGTTTGTAGTCCTGAAAATGACTGTTGGAGTAGTCTTGAAAAAGACTGTTGGCTATCTTTCTAAGCTTAAGTTTCTAATGAGAACTATAGCGCTTAAAGAGGAGGGTGGCGGGAGTGGCTCGACGTTTCGAACAGGTTGACTATCCGTCGTCCTAGAACTATAAGTTAAGAAAGATAATCAACATTCTTTTTCAAGACTACACCAACAGTCCTTTTCAGGACTACAAACCCTCAAGAAAGACTACCAAGAGTCCTTTGCATGACTCATCAATCCTCCCTCTTTCTCACATGGTGAACCCTCAAGCCTACTGTATTTTTACATCACCATGCAAGCCGATACTTACAAGCAGCATCTATGAGCCGTGTTGCTATGAGGAAACACGCAATGGAAAGGAAATTATCCCTTTACCAGTTATCTTCAAGACCTAAGAAGCGCGGTGTACCAACAAATTCACTTGTTTGAATTTTGCAAGAATATCTCGGGCTTTTGCTATTATGATGTCTATCGTCTAAAACATTGAGTAAACTTTACCCTATACAACGGAGTCCCAAGGAAATAAATTTGGAAAAAGCGAGATTACCATAACAAAAAAAGAATTACATCCTGACTCGAGATTGCTACATTTTTATTCAAACCCCTATACATGCAAACATGAATTCTTACAGACTTCTTTCCCAATCGCTTTACAGTAAAACACTAACAAAAGACTGCCTTGAAAAAAAACTTGGCACAACTTGATTATGTTATAGATAAATTGTAATCTACTCGTTTCCTTCTTATCCTCCTTAGCAATGAAATGCCAACGAAGCTGTATACCTTTCCTCTCGCATGGCATCATTGATCACAAGGGTGAAGAACTGACCCTTGATGAACTTGGTATTGCCGTATCTATCCCTGAAGGAGCTATACCTAAAGGGATGAGATCAGTCGTAACTCTTCGCGTCTCAATGCATGACACTCCTAGGCTTCCTGTACGGGAGGGTGAGGTAGTTATTACTCCAGTCGTAGAATGTTCTCTGACACAAGAACTGCTAAAGCCTGCCACGGTGGTACTACCACACTGCACCAATCACCATGAACGTAGTGACGACTCTCCTGTTATGCTGTACACAAGAACAGGACCAGGTACAAAGTTATCGACATATTTCGATTCTGTTCTCTTGAAAAAGGGAACCTTCATAACTTGCAATTTGAATCCCATTTTTTTTACCAATGAAATGAGTATATCGCTTTTTTAGAATAATAATTAAGCTGGTAAAATAATGTTGAATGATTTTTCAATAATAAAGAAAAAGTACCGCTATGCCATTTAAATCAGCTCCCTGAACAAAGCTTGAAAAGAGTAAAAAATCAGGACATGAACTGAGTAGAAATCAATTTCTACTCTACTAATAAGCCTATATTATCAGTGAGTAACATTATATAATCAATATTTTTAATCGTTAATTTTCTTTAATTCAAAGGAACGTGCGGTCGTAGGACCTTGACTCCGTCACAAATCTCAAAAGATAGGATAACGTTTTGCACACGACATCTTCAAGTCTGGGCTCTGTCATCGACTGATCTTCAAGGACTCCAGCTGAGATGTGTAGTCTTCCAGCCTGTCTTCATGACTCCTGCAGAAAGACCAACTCTACGTGTGTACTTACTTCATCCATATATGAACCGTGTGGAGGTATTTACATCAGATAATCTATATCTACCATCTGCGGGCCCCATTTGATACTTTGATTATTAAATGGTGCCCCTGTGGACTATTCAGATTATGAAAGGCCTATGGTAACTCTTAACAATTTACCGAAGAACGTCTTATTATTTCGTTTACATTATCAGACCACAATATAAGATTATAATTACGAAACAAAGAGAGTAAGGCAAAGAAAGTGATGAGTCTTGGGGAGGAGGAAAATGAGGAGGGAATGATATGTGTTAGGGAAGGGGGATGATGGAAATATTAGAAGAATGGATGAGGAAGGGGCAAAGGGGTGAACAGATGGAGAAGTAAAATGCACTAAGCACTATTTTTATTTGGCTTAACGGGGGATAAACACTACTTTCTCCCTCAACATCCACCCCCCCCCCTTTTGAGCAACACAAACAGATAAAGCACAGGTAAAGGGTATTTTTATCTGCTAAAACATCCCCCTCCATCGATACGCCAATGCGATACATATTGTAAAAGCACGTGTGAAGGGGGGGGGGGGGCAGTACTATTAAGTTTAAAATCTGTATTCTGGACTATGACATCAAGAAGTATCTACTGTGCCATTTTGAGAAATTGTGTACATTATTTTTTACTGTGATGCTTGTTGCCTCAGACGGTTATGTGATAAGCTTCCCCCCCCCCCGGGGGGGGGGATCTCATTGAAATATGGATGCAGAATGTTTTGGAACTGCATCACTTTGAATGGCATGATAGGCCTAGCTGTTATTTACGTTGAAAATTTAGCTTTGGTGCCATAACTATGAAACAGATAGGTGAAATATTTTTGGACCAAACTCTTCATTAATACTAAAAATAAATTCTGGTTGTTTATTCAGGAAATAACAAGGAAAGAGAAGAGTTCTTCTGCTCCCTACTGCCAAGTCATGAAGGAATTCACGTTCTCTATAGAGTCAGAAGCAAGGGACCTACATATTTTGTTCGACGACGGGACGAAAAGAAAGGAGAGAACGGTGAATATGCCTCAGTTTTTTCCCATAAGGTCTGTTAAAACTTCTTCTTGGATGTTAATTTTTCAAGTTGAATTCTACACATGACATTTAAAAAGAAATGCAACAATAAGCTATTTTTAAGTTATGTTTTTCTTAAACAGTCACTGAATTATCAAGCCTCTTTCTTAATTTCGAAATTGGAGGATATCCTCGATTCAGATATGTTCCCTCTGCCGATCATTTTTCTCCCTCACATATGCACATGCTAACTTAATGTTGTCATGTTTATTTTCATTATCAGTATTATATACTCATTTGTTATCATATTATTATTATCGTTGTTGTTTTCGTTATTGTTCTTTTTTTAATCATCATCATTATCATTTATGATCAATATTATTATCATCATGACCTTTTTTTTATTATTACTGTCCTCGTTATTATAATTATTCCCACGATATTCAAACCAAGATGCCCATCAAGAGTATACTAAGTGGAAAGTGCAGCCCTCTGAACTTCGAGCTTCAGTTCTCTCCTGAAGAGAAAGGAAAGAAGAACGGCCATATCGACATACTACAAGGGTCAGCAATACGTGCAGAAAAAGAGTTTATCGTTTCCAACGAAGGTAAGCCAATACTATCAGGAAGTAGGATATTATGTGTCGTGCACTTCATCAAATGTAGCTAGATACTTCAAAGACCTTATGTCAATCATTTATGTAACAAGTTACCTCAAAGACTTCATACAAGTCAATTTAGTTACTTCAATGATCCTATATAAGTCCGTCCTGTAGCCAGTTACCCCAAAACCCTCCATAAGTCTATATTATTGATCTTGTTACCTCAATGATCCTACATACCAGTAAGTCGTTTCTGTAACATGTTATCTTTAATTCCCTACATAAGCCATTTATTGTAACCATTGATCTCAAAGACCGTACATGAGTCATTTCTGTAAATAGTTCTTTGCGCTGTTGAGTAGATGTAGATTATATTTTGTCAGTTGTTCCTGGATTACTACCCTTTCAAACGACGACGACGAGAAATGACTGCGTAGCGAGTTCTATAGGAGACAAATTTTACAAATTTTACAACGATCGGGCGTGATCGGGCGTGGTCGCTTTTGTCCCGGTTTATAGTACATAGCAATTCCAAATACTGATTTATTTTGTTCAAATTCCTATTGTATTTATTTCTCCGTTTAATGCAGATGAACCGGATTATGCCGTCGATCACACAGATTCGTAAGTAAACGTATATCACCACCCACAGTTAAATGGACCTTGCGACACATCTTGTCTTCCTGTCTTCAGCTATTATAGTTAGCTGCTAGAATGATATTCCCGTCCATTGCTTGATGTTATCAGTCTATGATCTCATTCACGAAGCTGTTGGTAAAAGCGCCATCATCATCATCATTCTTATCATAACAGTGTCCATGAAAATACTACTTTTCATACTGTGATTCAGAATCACGGCATATAAATAAATCATGATGTTTTTTGAAAATTGACTTAAGACTAAGCATTTATAATTCCTAACGCGTAACCCTTTACTAGAAAGTTCCAAATACCCGTAGTTGATATGGCTACTGAGCGATAACTAACTTTTGTCAGTCTACTCTTGATCTATAGAGAGTGGTGATGGTGATTTATCAAAGGACAATGATTCATGTCAATATTTCACAAAGGAATCTACCTAAAATCTGTCAGCTTGTATTTTATTTGTTTACATTTTCCACCCCCTCCCAATGTCATGAATTTACTTACATACAGGCATGGGCGATTGCAGTATGTATCCAACAATCTCTTCGAGATCCTGGCCGATGTGATCCATACACCAAAGGATGTCATAACCTTTGGTTACCAGCTTGGCCTCTCTTATTCCTCTATGAAGAAACACAACGACCAAACAGACGTGTACCTCGATAGTGTCTCAAGGTCAGGCTTTGGTAAGATGCTACGTGACTGGAGACGGCAGGTTCGACCTAGTGAGCAGGTAGATGAACTTCATTTGGCATTGCAAAATGCTGGGTTAGGCCATGCAGCTGAGGTCATCTTACATGAACGTAAGTACCATATCCTACTCGTTCGGGCTTTGAAAGACTAAACAGTTCCCTTATATTGTTAGAAAGATGAAAACGATGACATATTGTAGAACTTTATCATTATCCAAAGGCACTAATGAAATATTTTCAGCTGAAGCATTCAGCGAAGCGATCTGGGGGGGGGGGGGGGGGGGGGTGTTTCACAAAACTTGACATCAGTGACAAATGACAGTTATTGTTATAAGCTACTGAAGTCCTTGCTTCTGATTGGTTATTAGCAGATTTTTCACTGATATTTGTCATTAAAAAAGGCTTTGTGAAACACCCTCCTGGTATGTGCTCGAACTATTTCAAATACTGCCCAGGCATTGATAGGTACGCATTCAATACACACAAAAAGGAGCATAATAAGTCGAGAATATAATTGTCCTATATTGTACGCATACAGCAAGGTTCTAACCTTGGACCTCCCACATGATAGTCCAGTAGGGAACGCCGAATTTGATTGCCCTTTTGGCGTATCATAATCCAAAGGCAACAAAGTACCTCAATGGTCCCAAATCCATTGAAGCGCTACCCTTACAAACAATGGCAAATTTGTAACGACAACAGCTATAAAAATCATTTTCCGTTACTGCTCTTTCGGGATTAAATTTAATTATAAGAATTTCTGTTTTTTCTTCTCCCCTATTTTTATGTAAACCATAAGTGAGTAACATATCTTAATATTCGAATTATTTAAGTTTCTTGTTTACCTCCCCAATTTTCTTTCGTGAACCATTGGTTTGTACACACGTCAAAATGCTCAAACTATTTAATTGTCTTTCTTCTCTATTCCGTTTTAGTGAGTAGCGGGAGGCGCTTTGCACAAGTCAAACAAGTATGGGAGTCAAAGAAGTAGGCAAACCTGTCATTTAAATGTCCCACGACCAAGATGGGATTCACTTGGTTTTTGCATTCAGCTGAGAAGCCTACGTCTTGAGAAACATGTATTCCAAGTCTGCATGATTCTCAGCGTGAATCTCGAAGTTGCTGTTTCTCCACTTCCCAATGCTGCTGGGAATCATGTAGTTAAGCTACATGTGATAATGATTTCTTGATAAATATATCTAATGTTTAAGAAGGCGGTTGAGATATGAAGTATTAAGAGAGGTAAACATCTATACGGTGTGTATGTGTCTGTGTGTGTGTGGGGGGGGGTATTTACAAACAAAAAAAAATCCTATTTGGAACACGTGCCTTGTAGGCTTTATTATTTTCCCTTCCATCCTTCCCTCAACGATATCCAATAAAATTCAACATGCCGAATACATTTCTTCTGTCTCTCATGTTGCTGCAACTTCCACTCCTCCCCTGCTCTTTATAGAACTTTATTGTTTGACATTCTATCCACCCAACTTATCTTTTCCATCTTCTTCCACATTCAAAGTTCAAAACTCTCAAACGTTTTGATCTCTGCCGTTTTCAGAGTCCTCTTATCCATGTAGGAGCACACATGTGACGATAATATCATTATATATTTTCTTGATCATAAGGTTGTATGAATAAAGTTTCAGTTCTGTTGGTGCAATGATCATTTCTCTGTTGCTACATTAATTGCAGTCTATGTATATTTTATTTGTTGTATGGTTTTATGAATACTCTTTGAGCTATATTGCTACATTAACCATATACATATTATAATAATTACAGAAAACATTTTCTTTATTGTAAGGGTGTACGAATACTATTTTAGTTCTATTGCTACAATAATAATTTACATAATTATGATGATAATATCAGAAGATATTTGTCATTATAAGTTTGTATGAATACTGTTTTAGTTCTCTTTCAACAATGACAATGTACATAATAGGAAAATGATTGCAGTCAATATTTCCTTCATTGTAAGGTTGTATAAATACTGTGTTCTGTTACTATCATAATCATATACATAAGATAGTAATTGCAGAATATATTGTTGTTATGATAAGGTTGTAGGAATACTGTTCCAGTTCCGTTGTTGAAATAGTCATCTAAATGTGATAATAATCGTAGTAGATATTATATATGTGTAAGGTTGTATAAACTCTATTTCATTTTTTTGCTACAATAATTGTACATATGATATGATAATCTCAGTATATATTTTTGTTGTTGTAAGGTTGTATGAATTCTCTTTCAGTTATGTTGCTACATAAATCATATACATATGGTAATAATTACAAAATATATTTTATTTGTTGTTTGAATATTACATCAGTTCCATCGCTACAATGGTGTTGCACATAAAGTAATAAAGGCACCAATACAAGTTTTACCATTAGGTGGTTTGAAAACGTTTAAATTTGTATTGCTAGATCATGTTAATAAGACAATCAATGCAGACCCAGTTTTTTCAACGACGTGGCTGTAAAACTATCATTTCATTTGTATTGATACAATGGTCATGAATTTAAGACAATAACTACAGAAGATTTTTTCTTCATTGTAAGGTTTTATGAAGACTGTTCAGTACTATTGCTACAATGATCATGTATATAAGACAATAATTATAGAAGATGTTTTCTTCATTGCAAGGTTTTATGAAGACTGTTCAGTACTATTGCTATACTTAAAGACAATAATTACAGAAGATGTTTTCTTCATTGCAAGGTTTTATGAAGACTGTTCAGTACTATTGCTACAATAATTATGTATATAAGACAATAATTACAGAAGATGTTTTCTTCATTGTAAGGTTTTATGAAGACTGTTCAGTACTATTGCTACAATGATCATGTATATAAGACAATAATTACAGAAGATGTTTTCTTCATTGTAAGGTTTTATGAAGACTGTTCAATACTATTGCTACAATGATCATGTATATAAGACAATAATTATAGAAGATGTTTTCTTCATTGCAAGGTTTTATGAAGACTGTTCAGTACTATTGCTACAATGGTCATGTGTATAAGACAATAATTATAGAAGATGTTTTCTTCATTGCAAGGTTTTATGAAGACTGTTCAGTACTATTGCTACAATGGTCATGTATATAAGACAATAATTACAGAAGATGTTTTCTTCATTGCAAGGTTTTATGGAGACTGTTCAATACTATTGCTACAATGATCATGTATAAAAGACAATAATTACAGAAGATGTTTTCTTCATTGGAAGCTTATATAAAGACTGTTCAATACTATTGCTACAATGATCATGTATATAAGACAATAATTACAGAAGATGTTTTCTTCATTGTAAGGTTTTATGAAGACTGTTCAATACTATTGCTACAATGGTCATGTATATAAGACAATAATTACAGAAGATGTTTTCTTCACTGCAAGGTTTTATGAAGACTGTTCAATACTATTGCTACAATGATCATGTATATAAGACAATATTTACAGAAGATGTTTTATTCATTGCAAGGTTTTATGAAGACTGTTCAATACTATTGCTACAATGATCATGTATATAAGACAATAATTACAGAAGATGTTTTCTTTATTGTAAGGTTTTATGAAGACTGTTCAGTACTATTGCTACAATGATCATGTATATAAGACAATAATTACAGAAGATGTTTTCTTCATTGTAAGGTTTTATGAAGACTGTTCAATACTATTGCTACAATGATCATGTATATAAGACAATAATTACAGAAGATGTTTTCTTCATTGTAAGGTTTTATGAAGACTGTTCAATACTATTGCTACAATGATCATGTATATAAGACAATAATTACAGAAGATATTTTCTTCATGGCAAGTTTCTATAAAGACTGTTCATTTGTTTTATTAAAATAAACATGTATATTAGGTGATACATGAAATTAATATAAGCGTTATCATAAGTTTGTATGAAAATTGTTGCAGTTGAACGGCTACAAAAACATTTATATAAGATAGCTTAATAATGTCAAAGGACTTTTATTTTGGCAAGGTTGTATAAACCCTTTTCCCATTACGTAATAATTGCAGTAAATATGTGCTTTGCTATCATGACTCTAAGTTTTGTATGAACAATTCTTCATTTGTATTCCATAAGTGATCATGTACATAAAACAATAATAGCACCGGATTGTTTCATTATTGTAAATTTTTATGAAACTGTTTCTGTTATTTAAATAAGAATCACACTTAAGTTGTGTGGTTTAGGCAAACTTTGATTTATGAGATTAGCGTTCAATTCATTTAGACGAAAGAATATCATTGGAGCAATTATGCCACCAGCCTAAAGATGACTGCTCATAAAAATGCTATCATATTCAAAGTATGACAAAGTAGTTTAAGTGTTTGATATAGGTTTTGATGACACAAATGTGATATCCCATATGTGCCCGCATGTGCAGTGTTCTCCTACTGCGTACAGTTTTCAGCAAGATTGCATATCGTTATGATTTGTATATGTATTATTTTTCTTAAAATAGTTTATTTCAGTTGACATAGTCCTTCATGGTTTAGTCTCCAAAAAGAATTGATATTAGTATACATTTTGTTTACGTTTATTTTTCTTACATTCAACATACTTTATATTATCTATAGTCCATTTGTATTCGTTTCGAAATTTTAATTACTGCCTTGACTGCATTTAAAATTATTTAACCTTTCTAACATGTCTATAATGTAGATTGTGTCATGGTTCTAAACCAAGATGTACAGCAGTAAAACCAAACATATAATCTGTAATAAATATATTTGAAAGAACGTAATTTCTATATCTGAAGGTTAATCATCCACATGTATATTCCTATAACATAATCAACATTTCTCAATGACTTGCAGACATTTGTTTTACAATGTACTTGCGAAAACAATTACTTGGATTTATTTTGATGATGTGTCAACAGTTTTTATGTTGAATTGCTACTATATTCAAGTTTAAAAAATGCAGAGTACATATCTGTATTAAACCATAGTAAGGTTGTAGAAAAGCCGTTTCGGGAGTATTGTATCAATGACCATGAACATATTAGTACGATATATACAGTAATGTTAGTACTATGTTTAAGTTGTGGTAACATTTTAGTTGCGGTTCCGCAATTACCATTTAAACTAATAGTGTTGTAATAAAGTAATCATTATTGCACATGTTTGCGTATAATCATCATACATGACCGTGACCCGAGAGACCTGTCAAATGGACCCCCACCCGAAGTGTAAACTTACTTTTAAAAAGTCAAGTTAGAATAAGGCTGCTGATTCCATATCCTCTTATTCGTTTTGTTTTAAAGAGCCCGATCCATTTACATAATCACTCATTTCAGAGTCGGTTTGAGGCTTCAAAGTTGATTGTAACACACATTTTGTTCTGAAGTTTGCCCTTATTAACGACCTTCAGCAAAACAAATTGGGAACCAAAGGGAATGCAAAACGTGCTTGGGACTTTATACCTCCTACAAACGTGTGTGAATGCCTTTGAAACGTATTGAGAGCATTCCCGTGATGCTAGTTCAGAAGAAGGAACATTTTGAAATTGATGTTGAATTTCGCTACGAAAGAAAAGCCACTTTTATTTTCAATATATTTGTTTTATGTTTCACGAAACTTTATGTCAGCTCCGATTTAGGTAGCAAGATCACTTTTATTTGTTTGGATATAGTTTGCCTTTGTGTTGGTGAGGTTCTGTTAATCTTTCTTTACTCTCATGCTCCTATATCCATTACTGTGTTTTGTTTTTATTGTGATGATAGCGATATCTCTCATAATGAATGTAATGCGACCATATGTACAGCATCTTATTTTAATTTTCATTTGTTTTTCTTGTGTTGTTTAATTTTTTGTTTCTATTTAGCATTTTAAGTTGAGTTTCCTTTTGTTTGTTTCCTTTGATACTAATGTTATCTTATCATGCCAGGAGTGATTTCAGTCAATTAAAAAAAATTGACTTTGCTTCAGTCATTTAAGAACCACATGGTTTAATACACTACAAATTCCCCACAAGCCATTTTTCCCAAAATGGCTTCCTTAAATGATAAGTAAAGGAACAAAAAAAT